TATATATATAAAAATCCTCCCTGAAATTCTAACTTGAGCATATGCTTTCATCTACATTAACTTATAAATGACAAACTTCTCATCATTCAGTTATGTAAGTTCATCCAACGTTGACTAGTAATATACTTGTATTTCATTCAATACTTAAAAGTTTAGATTTAAACAATAGTTCAATGTATTTAAAATTAACTGTTATGGACATGTGCTGTTCTATTGGAATCAATTTTGAGTCAAGTCAAGAAATTTAAAGTGGCTTTGTTTTATGTGAGTGAAGTGACATGGCGACCCATACTAATTAGTGCTCTGCATTTAACCCATCCAAAGTGTGCACGCACGCACGCACACACACACACGCGCACACGCACGCGCGCACACGCACACGCACACGCACACGCACACGCACACGCACACGCACACACACACGCACACACACACAAATATTTCGACTCACCACACTTTGTCTTCCAGGAGAGGTGACCACCTGCAAAATACAAATATTTACAGATTAAATTCCTGTCATTTGTTATGACTCTCTCTAATAATTGCTGTTCATTAATTAGCACATTACAGCATTCACACATATTCAGGACTTCTTCATAATGTTCTGATTTGTGTCAGCACAGTGCACAATGTTAGGTAATATTTATATCATTTTTCATTTTTACAGTATGCATTAGGGCTGCACTATTTTAGGGGAAATCTAAAAATCTAAATATATTATAAAAAATATATAGTAATATTTCTTATTTGTCTAGTAATTTTAATACTACTACTGCTAATAATAAAAATTATTTTGGAATATTTTGATAATTGCTATTATTATTAAAATATAGTAATATTTCTTATTTGGTTTTTATCTAGTAATTTAAATAGTAATTAATACATTACTAGACAAAATATTACTAATTTAGTAATAAGCTGCTTATGTGTAAATGAACACAGTGCTGCGCTTTACTCTGACACATGCAGTGCATATATTTATTTATTAAATCACACTTTTTGTGATTTGATAAATCGCACTAAGCCATATTGTGATTTTGGCTTTACTTTGACTAATCATGCAGCCCTACTATGCATTTTAATTTTTTACTTATTATTTTTAAGGAAAAACACAGTAATGAGGGGCTTGTAATTTAATCAACATTAAATGAATCTGACCATTCTTGACAGCTGGAGTTTTCATTATCTAAGACAGCTTAGTCACAGGCTTGCAACTGTGGGATTGTGGGATTGACAGCAGAGCGCAGCAAGTGGCGAGAGTATCAGAAAGTTGTGAAATGCTGAACTTTATACAAACGACAGGCGAACTCTGCTGACATCTGTCAAACGCATTTCAAAAAGTGACGCAAATGCATTTAATTTAGATATAAAATGACGTTTGCATGCTTTCATTGCAGCTAAAGCGTGGCTGGGATTACAAAAGCATATTAAACGAACACCATATAGTAGCATTCACAATCATGCATGTGCATGTACATTTACAGGAAATAAAACTGCACATATCTGACATTTTGGGCATGCAGCATTGAGTGAATTTCTTCTGGTTTTAATTTTATTTTACCCCATAAAAAAAAAAAGAGAGGACATGCTTCACAGAGGAAGTGCCAGGACATCTTCCCTTTCAAACACAGTAATCCTGGATATCCAAAGAGCACCAATTAGTTTGAAAACAACCTCAGAAGCCTTGCATTTATGCTTAATCTCTGCTAAAGGCCATTACATGAGCATCTCTAGCGGATTACC